TTTTATCATGCCACAAAACAATTTAAAGGTTGAAAATTTAATTAGAGCTTTATCATTCTCAAAAATTTTCAAATAATACAGAGAATTTTTTTGCCTAGCTTCAAAGATTATCAAAACAAAGAAGTTTGTCGTTCACTCTTCATTTTGTCTAGTGTTTTATGGCCAGGCGCAAGCATATCAATATAACCTTGAAAAGTATTTGAAAGCCATATTTTCTATCATCAAAGCCTCAAATTTTAAATTTATTCTTGTAAACATAATTTTTGATATTGTTTGATTTCATTTTGAGAACTAGAAATTAAAATTTGACTTAATTTTTTTTGAATTTCAAATCTTTTTAAGATTTGTTTGCTTTCCTACTCACTTTCCTACAAAATTTCTCGTCCAATCTACCACAAAAAAACTTCATCAATTTATTTTTTGGTATTTTAAAAAAAAGTTGATCGGATTATTCTGCGGTACCTGTACAAAAACCGGCTATCCTTGTTTTAAATTTTTCCATGATCATGTAACTCCCGAATTTGATCAGGAACCCAGAGTTTATAAAATAGGAGCTATTTCTAATAGTATCAATTATTTGAGAGTCTTTTTGAGTTTCAAATGATTCTTTTCTCTTTTGTTATCAGTGTACTCAAAAAATGTCATGAAAGTTGGTTTCATGAGTTGGGTTCAAAGATTTTCAAACTTGGGTTCATCACTTGTTCATTGTGTCAGACTTTTAGTTTGCTTTTTATCTTTAGTGTTCTGACATCCAATTTTTCTTCAGTTCTTTTGCGCAAGATGTAATTTTTTAGATTTTGATTATTAACCGGCAGTTGTTGATGGTTTTTTTTGATACTATCTGAAAAACAAGTTTTCAGCTCAACTTTGAAACAAATTTTCTCTTTAAACTTTTCTGTCACCAAAGTGATTTGTAATGGTTTTAATGTTGCAAAATTGAGAGAACTAAAGTGCAAAACTGTTCGTACCTGGCAGATAAATCTCTGGGAAACCGTTGAGATTTGAATGCAGGAAAATCCTTTGGTCTATATAAAAATTACACAAAAAAAGTGTAATTGTTGTCCAAAATCGTTTAATCTAATCAAATTTGGTTCAATTCTTTTTGAAAAATTCGTCAAAATAATTACTTTTTCTGAAATATAAAATAAATAAAAAAGTGAATGCCTTGCCGTCAAACTATCAGTCTAAAGTTTCATCATGCCACAACAGAGTTCAAATCTTAAAAATTTAAAACTTTGGTTTTAAAATCATAGCTTTTTGATTGATTCAAGGTTTTTCAGATAACTAGAGGATATGTTTGTCTCCTTCAAACTTTATCCAAACAAAGTTCATGTGTCGTCTAACGTTTAACATTCTTATGTTGTATGGCCAGGGGCAATCATATCAATATAACTTTGAGAATGGTTAAAACAATTTTATTTCCCATCATCAAAGGAAAGTATTCTACGTTAACAAAGAACCATTTAGTTAAATTTTCTAGCTTGTCTTGATAGCTTTCTAAAACGTTTGCGTTGAGAAGAAGTAAACATGAGCAGTTATAAATTCAAAGTTAGAAGACAAAAATCAACTGGAAAAAAACAGCCAATCACGATGCATTTTTTTGGCAGTAAAATGAAAACAACGACGAATAGTTAGCGTCAATAAAGTTTTCTAATTTATCACGTTTTCGAAGTTTGACTTTGTTTAAATTAACAAAAATGATTTAATGAATTAATTTTTGCCCTTTTTTGTTACATCGCCTACCAGACGAGTTTTACAAAAAACATCACTCAGCCTTAAAATTTGAAATTTGAGCTCAATTTGACCTTTTTGGCTGGCTTGAGCAAATTTTGAAAGCACGCAAGCTAACAATAGTTTTTTTAAATGTTTTCTAACATTAGTTTTTTTCTACGATTTGAATAAGTTTTATCAAAACGCTCAAACTGAAACAAAAACTTTGTAACCTGTTTCGTCGTGTACGAGAGTTAAGTTTTATCAAAATAACAGTGAAATGCTGTGAACTAAAAGGGATCAGTGTGAACTATCGTTGCAAAAAGGCAACTTTTGTGTTTTCTCTGGGCTGTGCACTACACAGGAAAACGATTTGTCGCATAATAACCAACAAGGCGAGTTCAGTGAGTTTGAAAACCGCGTAGGCTGTGAGAAATGCACAAACATTGGCAAATTTTCCAAAAAAAAGGAAAAAATTTAAATATATAATCAAGAGCAGATATGAACGGCAGACGCTTTCATCTTCGGGAATTTGACTGTTTCGCATTCCAAAGGGTCCCTTTTGTTAATTTTTACGGCAAAGATTTTCGGCCGACCGACCTTCAAATTTTTCTAAAAGTACCATTGGCGCTATGTCATGATATTTTGAGGGGGATTGAGCGGCAAAAACACGCCGGTAGTGCAGATAAAAATGACAATTTGGGTCAAAAAGATATTTTAGAAATCCTCAAAAATTCAATTTGGTCTACCAATCAAAATATAATCATTTTTGCTGTTTTGTTCGTGAAAATCCGCCCCCAACCCTCGAGAAAGTTCTAGATCAACCCCTAATTTTAGACGATTAAAATAAATTGTGTTTGGATTACAATCATTTTCAATTCTTTGAAAATAGTGGTTTATAACGGATTACAATGGATTGTGTTGTGTGGTCAAAATTTGCGTTATAATTCTGTATTAGTGACATCTTTGAATACTAAAATCTATCAAATCGATTACTGTCTAGGGAACCTCTTTGCGAGTAGTCGGCCAAAGTATACTGGTTTTGAATAAAAATTGAATAAAATTTGAAAAAATAATAATATTTGTTCCGTTTTGAAATGTATATTATCAAACAGAGAGATATATACAGTTTTTGAGAAATGGCGTTTAAATGCTTAACAAACTCATATAGGTTAAAATCGAAGATCAAAATCAAAGCTGAACTTTTAGCTCCCGGCAAGTCTCAATCGTTAGGGTTTTAAATGCTCAAGCGTATAAAAAACTTATCACTATGAGACGTAGAACTGATCAAACGTCATTAAAGGCTTTTGAAAATTTAAGTTCATATAAATGATAATTTTTTTTGAACTCCAATTCATATTTTTTTAAGTTTTGCAAACACAAAGAAAAAGTTACACTAATTCTAGACATTGGTTTTGAGCAAAAATGGAAAAAAAAAGCGTTTCATTTGGGTATTATGTGCCTAGTTATGTCAGAAAATTTACTTTTCTTGGTAAGATTTTAAAAAAAACTTTCATTCTATCCATTTCTGACAGGAAAAACAGTCGTTATATAGTCAACAAAAAATAGATTTTTTTTTTCAAAAAAGCTGAAAAAAGTGCATAATACAGTTTTAATTACTCCTGATGAGGAAGCAAACTAAAACCAATGAGGCTGAGCTTGAATGCTCATGAAATATGCCTCATTCTGGTTTTTTTTAAATATTACTAAAAAAAATGAGAACTGACAGAGTATCATAATATCTAACGCACGAAAGATTCCTCAATTCTATTTCAGTTTCCGATACCTGTGTTGCTGAAGCAACTTTCCCGCACTTTGATAAATCATCGAATAAGTCATAAATTGATTCTAAAGTCACTGCGATTTGTAACATACCATTGAAAAGTTTGAATTAAACCTTCGTGAATCTTGTTGATAAGAAAGATTATCATTACATGCTTTGGCGAATGCTGAACAGCGAAAATTATCATCCTTTTTTGACAGCCGACTAACTTGAGCAAAATTCTCTTTTTTTCACTCTGATATCTCAAAAAACAATAAAACAAAAACACCCCCTTTCAATACACTTGATCCCTGATCTTACCCGGTATTTTTCTTCAGACTGGCACACCAGATTTTTTCGTTTGACCCTTGAAAATAATCTGTGAAGACGAAACTACACAACCGACTGCGCAGTTCACATTATTTGGAAAATATATTCAACAGCTGCATGTCACGTATTCAACAACAGAAGACATAGAAAAAAAAACAGAGAATTGAGAAATAAGTTTTGACAAGAACATCATCGAAGAAAAAAAGGAAGAAGAGAAAAGATCTGACAAAATGTACATGTCTTCTTAAAAAAAAAAAGAATAAATGTTTGCATTAATCAATATATGTTTACTTGTACATTGATATTGATTTGTAACCCCGAGTTGAGCGAACAAATTTGCGTGTAACTACTCTGAGGAGAGCGAGTTTGAGAGCAAAACTTAACTTGTTTTAATAACAAAACCTCCAAAATTTATCAGTTTTCTTAGCCGTTTTCCTTTCCGACTTGCTCTCCACCTAACCAAGGAAAACCAAGTTATTTTGAGCGCATCTGAGTAAAAAAGAAACCCGATTTGAATCGACGCTGTCGCGACTTTTTGTTTTTCCGTAAACGGGATACTCCGAAAACCCCCTTTTCCAAAAGATAGTTATTTTTCGGCATTTTATCATTTCGTAAAAAAAAAAGAAAAAAAAAAAAAAAAAAATCATTTCCTGTTTTTAACTTTCCTGTTTGCATTTTTTCTGTACAATCTAAACAAACATCTGACGAACTTTAGATTTAAAAAAAAAAAAAAAAAAAAACGACGAATATTATTTTTACAATAATAGATGGTGAAGCAGTTGTTGAGCATGTTGTCTGGGTCTCTCTTGTCTTAATGTGCGAATATAATTGTCCTTCCTTTGTCTCGTTTTAAATTGTGTTTGTGTGTAGATGCGTTTTCCTCTCGTTGTTTCTGGAAAATTGTCGTCCCTTTGTATCCTTGCTTTGAGTGTAGCCTGTAAATTACCATAACACGGAAACAACTAAAAAAAAAAAAAAATCATTTAATTTCGAGTTTACCAAAAAAAAAAAATAGCAAGTCTTTTTTTTCCCTCAAAAAACATTTAAATATTTTGAAAACAACAGCAAACATTTTAACAAAAACAAATTGAAGAAAACATTCGAAGTTTTTTTTTTTTCTCTAACTTTAGTTTGAAGTAAAATTGAATAAGAGGTTAAAAAAAAAAAAAAAAAAAAAAAAAAAAACGGCCGAAACGGAACAAGCGCCGTCCTTATCTACGACTCTCAACAACTATGGACGATACCAATACCAACAATTCGTCGACGTCAACAATAACTGCAAAAATTGCCTCAAGTAAATTCAGGCTGGCTAGAATCGAAATGAGCCGGTCTATGGAGTTCTTACAGTCACAGATAGAAAGAGGGACCCATATTAGTTCTTTGAAGACTTTGGCGCAGAAAACAGAAGACCGATTAGAACAAATGAAAGTAATAGCAACCGAAGTGTTCGCAAATGGATCTTCGGAAGAGAACGACGACGCTATGGAGATATGTGCATGTCTTTCACGACAACTTATAGAGCTAACCCACAACGTCAACACTCTAGGCGAAGACTTAACCAGCTGTTCTGGTTCTAATACAATAAACGTAAACAAATCGACGCCTGTATCCCGGCGAAACCCCTTCGTCAAGGACACTTATGCCGAAAATCACTTCACTCAGCCCTCTAGCAACCGCGTGAACAATTCATCTGATGGAGAGCCAATTAACTTACAGAACGACATGCTACTTCACCAACACTCAACCACCGACGTACCGCAAATATCTTTGAACCACTCTGCAAACGAATCATTGTCTAGAGAGTTGACCTCTCTAAGTTCTCAGTCAAGAGAAGAAAGCTTGGAACAAAAAAGGTTTACAGGATATGAACAAACTATTCAACCAACGAATCAACTACTACTAACATCAGTACACCAAGCATTGCCAGACAACTTACATTTGAATCGAAGCCATGATTCGTTTCAGTTTTCAGCTCCAGCAGTCCATGCAAATCTCCACGAAAAATTTTCATTGGAATCTTCATTTGCTTATTCCAATCGTCAGCAACCAGGAAACGCTATACAAACATCAACTTCAAAGGAAAATAATTTCCATCTAACTCATCAGAAAAATTTAGAGCAGTATACATCTCCCCCTACTGTCATACAAGCGAATCGGAACCCGTTTGCTCAAAGTCACTCGGTTGAACAGTTTCAAAGAACTTTGGATTTGAACAACCAAGTAGTGGATAGTCATGGGGATATTAAAAGTCACCAGGTAGTGGATAGTCATGGGTTTGATAAAAATCAATTAAACATTCTACATGCACATCATTGTCATGAACCGGTTTTCAACAACCCGATATCAACACACTGCGAACAGAATAGAGACGCGCTTAAAGAAAATCATTCAGGATACCTCATTCATCCTAACTACAACCAAATTCCACCGCATCTGCTTGTGCAAAACCATCCCTACAACCAGATAACGGATACTCACGTTGGTAATAGCTACCAAACAAACAATCTTCCTACGCAACATCATCTTGATCAGGCTATAAATAATCCAATTTCATCAAACAGGCAACAGAATAGAGATCCATTTGGAGAAAGTAATTCAAAACTTTTCAATTATCAGAATTACAACCAAGCTCGACCCATTCCAACAATGCACAACTCTGAAACTTACGCAAGTTTTTTACCCGGACAAGAAAAAATTGACTATAAGTTTTCTGTTAAACTTCCTCCAATTAAGCTACCTAACTACGACGGAGACCCGATGGCTTACCACGACTGGATAAACATGTTCCAGGCTACAGTTGATAGGAATCATACAATTAGTGACACTCACCGGATGACTTATCTACAGGATTCGGTGTCAGGAAAAGCAAAAGCACTCATCAAAGGGTACTCATGTAACCCTGCTTTTTACAAAGCCGCACTGAGGGACCTTCAAAATCATTTTGGCGACTCAAACTATATTGTAAATGCTTTCATTCAGCAAATTGAAACTTGGCCGTCCTCAACTAGTAACAATCGTTCAGTTGTTTCATTCGCATCCTTTTTGAAACAGTTAGTTCGAACCTTCCAAAATTTGGGTTTTCAAGCAGATTTGCATTCTACAGCTTTACTCAAACTTATCAAAACTAAAGTTCCTGACAATTTACTTATGAAATGGACTGAATACGCTGTCCGTGAAAATGTTCAAAACAACAACGTACAATAGTTTCAGGAGTGGCTTGAAATACAAGCTAAAGTATTGGAAAGATTACAAGGGGAGCACTCGTTTCTGGGGACGTCAGCGGTCAAAGATCAGGAGCTTAAGACACAAAATCAAACGTCTTTGGGAAGTAAGCAAAACGCTAAAATGGGGTCTGACATCAATACGACAACCAAATTCCAATATCCTTCTAAAAAGTGCTTCATTTGTTCGCAGGAACATTTTTTGGCTCATTGCACCCGCTACCAGAGCTTAGCACCAGTTGAAAAATATAATTTGGTAAAACAGCATGAGCTTTGCATAAATTGCTTAAGTTCTCGCCATTCAAGAAACAATTGCAATTCAGAGAGACGATGTCAGCAATGTAGAGGGTTCCATCATACGTCACTTCATGATCCATCTCGATTTACAAGCAAAAACAGCGCATCTTATGCAGCAATCGTCTCAGGAAAAAACGAAGATGATAAGGAGTTTACAACCTCAACCTCTAGCAGATATGGCCTGTCGCATAGCATTGACAAAAACACATACCATCAACAAAAACAAGCGGACAGTGAAATTCATTTTACAAAAAAGGGAGGGTTTACTGCTTCAGAAAAAGCAACATTTGAACGGTTACCCAACATTTGGTTCGAACAATTACAGCTGATCCCTGTGTCGTTCGTCAATAATGGTAAAGTGTGTGACACTTACGCTCTCATTGACCCTGGCAGCCAATTTACTTTTATGCTTGATCAAATTGCAGACTTCTTGGAAATCTCATCATCAGAAACAGCAAACATGTCTTTACAATATATAAATATCAACCATGAGATGCCGGTTGCAAAACTAGACAACATCGTTAATTTAGCACCGTACAAACAAACGGGACAAACATTTCCAATTCGTAATGTTTATAAAACGCCATTTTTAAATATACCTCCTGCAGATGTTGCTCATCTGAATGAAATCTGTCAGGGTTTCAAAGGTTTTAGCCACATAAAATTCCCCAATATTGCTGGCGGAAGAATTGGAGCACTACTTGGCGTTAATACGTTCTCTTATACGTACCCCATTCAAGTAATTGAAGGAAATGATTACCGACCACACGGAATACAAACTCGACTGGGTTGGACAATTGCAGGAGAATATCACCAAACAATTGCTCCCACACGTTTGAATAAAGTGCGCAACAGACAAACTTCGGGATTTGTTTTCCACGTTACAAGAAAGTCAAATGAATCTGTTGAGCAGCCATTGGACTATTTAATTCAGCAATTCTGGAAAATTGAAGAAACTGGACAAAAAACAACAGAAAAGGAGTTTTATACCGAAAACAATTTGGCGGCAATTCGGATCCTTGAAAACACAATACATCATACAGGAGAAAGGTATGAAATTGGTTTACCGTGGAAGAACGAGACTCAATTGCAGAATAACTACTACATAGCCCTTAATCAATTAAAATCACTTGATCGCCGACTTGCTAAAATCAACGATCTACGAAATTTATACGAAGCAACCCTCGTAAATGACCTCGAAAAGAAACACGTGCGACCTGTAGAAATGAAAAGAATAAAACCCTCGCGAATTTGGTATCTACCACATCACCCAGTGCAAAACCCAAATAAACCGACAAAAATCAGAAGAGTAGCCAACGCTGCATCTCTTTTTAAAGGCCAATCACTTAACAACAATCTCCTCACAGGTCCAGATCTACTTGCAAATCTGACAGGGATTCTGCTGCGCTTCCGCAAACATTCTATTGGTCTTCTTGCCGATATTGAAGGGATGTTTATGCAAGTAAAAATTCGTGAAGAAGATAGGCCAGCCTTGCGTTTCCTCTGGAGCTATAACGGAAAAGTTCATCAGTATGAATACACGCGGTTAATATTTGGAGCCACATGTTCACCATTCTGCGCTATTTATGCATTACAAAAATGCGCTTTGGACAACAAAGACTCGTTTCCTCTGGCTTATGATGCAATTCTAAACAGTTTTTATATGGATGACTACATTGCCTCAGTACCGACGTTAGCTGAAGCACAATGCGTTTCAAGAGAAACCAGGGAGTCTTTAAAACAAGGTGGTTTTCGTCTCACCAAGTTCTTATCTAACAACAAGCTCGCCCTGCAACATATTCCTTGCGAAGACCACGACGAGATAAAAACTTCAACTCGTGTTCTTGGACAAAACTGGAAAATTGACAGTGATGAGTTTTTTATTGATCCCCTTCAAAACTTTCCTACTCTGGCTGATAATTATACTCAACGGAAACTCTTCAGCTTATTGTCGTCTATTTTCGACCCTCTAGGAATTATAGCACCAGTAACAATTCGTTTGAAGGCTCTACTGCAGCAGATTTGGAGGCTAGGTTTGAAATGGGATAATCAGATACCTAGTGATCATCAACACAAGCTACAGAAAATCCTGGATTCTTTTCTCAAGATGGAAAGAATAACTTTGCCAAGAGTTTTGTTTCCAAATCAAAGCAATAAATCGTGGAGTTTGGAAATACACGCATTTACTGACGCTTCACTCATCGGTATGGCCGCAGTCTTGTTCTTGCGAATGCATAATTTAGACGAAACAGTAATTGAATGTAAATTTTTGATTGGCAAAAGCAAGGTTGCGCCTATTAAACAACTGAGTGTACCAAAACTTGAATTAGAAGCTGCAACAATTGGAGCACGTCTTTTGTCATTTACGTCCAAAGAACTTCATCTCAATAGAACAGCTGTTTTACATGTCTGGACAGACAGTCAGGTAGTACTTGATTGGATAAAATCAACGAAACAGCAAAAAACATTTGTGGCAAATCGACTGACTGAAATTTCAACAATGGATCATCAACTACAATGGCATCACATTCCAACTACTCTGAATCCTGCAGATCACGGTACTCGAGGTCTTGAACCCAGGGAAATTAATGAAAAATGGCTCACACCTCCAGCCTTCTTGAAACAACCTAAGTATCTTTGGCACGATAATACTTTGCTCGCAACAACAGTGGTTGCTGCGGGTTTTCAAAGACAGACCAAGCATAAAAAATTGTCTCTAAATGAGCCAATTTTCGACATTAGACGATTTTCTACATGGAACAAGCTAATTTTAACTCTCACCACAGTCATGAGTTTCATTTCCAGACTACAAATTAGGATTCTCAACAGAAAAACCAATCAAAACCCATCCTCCAGTGATGAAAATGAACAAATTTTTTGCAACACCTCAGATGTTGAAAAGGCCAAGCTATACGCAATCAAAATTTGTCAGGCTCAGTCGTTTCCTAATACTATCAAAAAATTAGAAAGCAAAAGCAAAATTGACAATAAAGACAAATTGGTTCAATTGAATCCCTTTTTGGATCAAAAGACAGTTCTAAGAGCTCGAGGTCGTCTTGAGTTTGCATCTTGTATGAAAGAAGATGCAAGGTTTCCGATAATATTGGATGCGAAAAATGCAATAACAAAATTGTACATTGAACACGCACATCATATTTGTGTACATCAAGGATCAGAGTTTGTCAAATCCTTCATACAGCAACGCTACTACATTATTGGTGTACGACTGGCTCTACGCAGTGTACGTTTTAAATGTTTCATATGCAGACGGTTCGATGCGCAAAACCTCCAGCCAAAAATGGCACCCCTACCAAGCTCAAGATTTCCACAGGAGAACACTCACTACCCTTTCATCAGCACAGGAGTAGATTTCTTCGGGCCATTCTTCATTCAAAACAGAAAGAAAACAGAGAAACACTACGCTATCATCTTTAACTGCCTGACAACTAGAGCAGCCCATTTGGAGTCTTGCCCAGATTTGAAAACTGATACCTTCCTTAATGCACTTGCCCGGTTTACAGCCAGAAGAGGGAGCCCTAAAACAATTTACAGTGACAATGGAAAGACTTTTGTAGGAGCTGGTAATGAGC